AGGCGTTTGTAATTGCATTACAAAGCCCCACTGTTTTCTCGTCCCTGTCTCAAATATTTGTTCACTAAGCCACATGAGAATCTTACTGTATGCGTGATTCTTTTATTATTTATTGTCATCACTTTAAGTCAACTTTTTTTATATAAAGACAGGGTGCAGGACAAGCCCTTTCTTTCTCCAAAGCCTTTCATCATCACGGGTTATTGTTTTATTTTGATTCTTTTGGGGAAGGGGGGGGGGGGCTTCTTGCATGCTCAGAGGTTCCCTCTTTGCGAAAATAATCAGTTTTCATAGTGAAACCTGTGAAGATGCTTGCCATACTGCACTTGAGAAATGTTTGTGTATCGTTTTCCGTGCTTACTGTGTCACCCTGCTCCCTTCTGTTTTGCTTATCTCAGCCCAGTGCATTCTAATGATACATCAGCACTCGACATACACACGAGACACCGATATAAATCTTCCTCCTCACTTTTCCTTCGCGAAGCAACGGAGGTTCCCGAATCGCACAGCTCAGATCTGTCGCATCTGTAGCAGCAGGAAGCATCACTAATTGTATAAGCAGCAAATGAAATTGTTGCCTTTGTCGTTAAATCAATCTTAATTAGCTGCGGCTATTAAACCCTTCTCCTCTCCTCAGATGCAAGCTGTCAGACAATGTCAAAAAGAAGAAGAAAGCCCACTTCATTACCTTATTACATATGAGCTGCGTGGGGGAACAGACTGCATATGCTTAACTGCTATAAATCATTCTGAGTGCAGTGCCAGGAAGAATTCATTTCAAGGTCTCGCTGCTTTGTTTGAAAGCTTCAACATTTGTTCCTCAAAGCTTCTAGCTGCACGACTGGGACGTCTTTGAGACTTGCTTAAAATTATCTCTGGAAAAGAATGGGATTGAATTGCAGTGTGTTTTACTTCATTCATTAAGCAAGAAATTGAAACGAAAATGCGTTTTGTAGCTGAGAAAAAAGTAAGGACACCATTTTGCGGCATTTTGGTTGAGCTAACTTCAGTGAGCTCTTTTTTTTAGCATCAAGCAGTCTTTGACACTAGTGTGAGAAATGGTGTCAAAGAAAATCTTGTCCCATTCCTGATATCTGAAGGGTTTTTTTGTTTGTTTTGTTTGTTTTAAACGTACAGCCTGTTTGAAATCCCTGCAGAGAATCTCAATGAAATCATGAACAAGGCCCTCACACAGACCTTACATTTTCTGATTGTTTTTATTCTCAAAACTTGTCATGTTCAATGATCCAGTTCTGCTTCAACTTTGACCTTTTTGACAGATCTCACATTTTCCTCCATTCATCTCTGACACAGTAGAATTCGTGGTGCATTCTCTGATTGAGAGCTGGCCAAGTCAACCACCAAACATTAAACAGCTGCCGGACAGGTCATCGTAGGAGGTTTAAAGTTTATTTCAAACATTTCCTCTGGTCTGATGTCCAGATAGTTAATTTCATGTGTCTAAAGAAGATTATTCCAGAAGTCCTGGTTTGTTCTCTCTGGCAACCTTACTCAGAGACTCTCAAAGCTTGTTGCAAACAGTTTTTATTTTGAGAAAACTTGAATTATCTTTAAAAAAATTAAGAGATGCAGCATTTTTTAGCAAGTTTTCTCTCTCTTTTTCATTTTTGTTTGGGAATTCCCTTTTTTTTTAACCTGCTGACTTGCAGCCTCCAGCAGCCATGCGCTCACAAACCCTCTATAAAAAGAACAGCGGGAACATTTTAAAGACTGCAATTTGCAGTGAGTTTAAAACCATGTTTTTTAAGAGTGCCACACCTTGAAGCCATTTTCAAAACTATCCTCTGTGACCTCATTGATGCATCTTTGTTTATATTAGCTTCTACACAATTGCTTTGCGCGCCAGCTTTGTTTTTCTAAATGGGACGCAATGTGACTTTATTGCTTCGGCTACAATATATTTGCATGAAGCCTGAACAAAGAGCCCCGAGGGCAGCTGTGTACTCTTTCAATGTTATGCAAGTGTGGCTTGAGTAAAAGGTGAAAATTAGAGATTTTATGGAGAACGGGGTCTACAGATAAAATAAAAGCTGAATAAAATCGATTTCTCTCAGGGAAATGAAGTGGTTACAAATTAAATATAGATAAAAATAAACAAAAAATAACACAGGTGGTAAACTTTTACAGTGCACTCAAATCTTTTAAGGTACCCTTGAAAGTATTTTTGAAACTGACTTTATGAATTAGTATTTTTTTTTTTCAGACCGTTGAGTACACAACGTTGTTCTGACTTTGACGTAATTCTCCACAGGCAGATTTTAAAGCTCTCTAGGATATTGCATTTGTGGTTTAGGGAATATCACAAGCCAGGTAATCTTGATTGGGTCTGACAGTCCCTTTACGGCGTCAACCTGCTATTTTTACCCAGCTCATTGAACATTAATGCCCTCAGGCAACCCAATCCCATTTTATCTCTGGCCCGCCCCAAACATTTTTAGTTATTAAAACATGCATTCAGGGTCATCAGCCCCCCAGCTCCGGTATCCACCTTCATACTGATGGGATTTTTTTTTCATATACACTCCTAAAGAGCTTATCTCTGAAGGAGATGCCGTTGTGAAGTTGTAATATTTCCCGATTTTGATATATTTGAATTTTTTTAACCTCAAACTTCCCTTCTGCAAGTAAAAAAAAAAAACAAAAAAAAAACTGTCACCAGGAAGACATTCGATGACCCACGGAGGCGACCGGTCACAAGCTCAGGGTCCAAACTGTCTATTAAACCTCTGTGAAAAATATCCTTGTGCAGAACGAAGCGTCAGCCAGTCTGCTTTCGCCGCTCACCAGGCTGACAGAGAACCTGACCTGAAGATGAATAATCCCTCAAACCCGTGCTGAATTTTTTATGCTGCAGCCACGTAACATTATTATGGCAGAAGTAAGTCGGCACATGAAGATCGGCCGTAGCGCTCACGTTCACGCCGCTCAAAGCCCGAGAGGGACATTTGCTCCCTAGCAGTATGACATTTATGATTATATCTGGAAAAAAAAAAAAAAGATTGATCAGTATGAGAGCGAAGGGAATGAGTTACAGTAAAATCTAAAGGTTACATCTTTCAGATGCTTTCATGTCATTTCTTTATCTGCTTTAAAGAAGAGAAATTGTTTTTTTTCTGCATTCTAAAAATGTATTCTGACTTTCAAATCCATTTCATTTAAAGGAAGTGAAAAGTTGCATCACCTTACAGATTTATTCTGGTTTTGCCTTTTTGTCAAGAAAAATGTCTTATTATAGAAGATAAGTAGATATGAAGTGTTTTTAAATTATATTTCATTTATATTTGAAAGCAGTTGTTTGTTAAATTATAAATTATGCTATTAATATGTTTTTGAACAGCTACGTTTAATTTCCCACATGTTACTTGTGTACACATGTCTGATATTAATATTTGTAGTGACCTGCAGTGTTAAAGTGTGATTAACAGACAAAGGCAGAAGAAAATTGCATTTCAGGCCCTAATTAGCTGGTCATTTACAAAATACCAGATGCAGGAATTTACTGGTTTATAGCTAAGGTTATACTAGGAAAAAGTTGTTCACTTTATTTAACTTTAAATTACTTCTTTCTGTGCCTTTGAGCTCCACATTGTTCTTTTTCATTTCTTTCATTTAATGCATGTGCTGAGCTATGATCCAGCAAGTCTGCTTGAAAAATTGAATTTTCCTCATCATTTGTCACTTCTTTCATCACAGCTCCTTCCAATATTCCATAGCTGCTCTATCAAGTGGTGGGTAGCATTTTTATTTCCTGCCAGAAAATAAATAAAACCCAAGCTTATTATTTGACTTTGGTCTTTTTTTCTTTTTTTTTTTTCTCTCTCATTTAACAGTGGAGATGTTTTGGGAATATGCTGACAGTGATTGAGGCTAATGTGATGCGGAAATACATGTTTAATGTAGGTCATTTGAGAATAAATCGGGGCTAAACGTACAATTTAACGGCAAAGTTGAGCACAGAGTGGTACACTACCCTGAGAGCGAACGTGTGAAAAATCACAGCTTTTACAAATACCTCTAATGACATCTCTTCTTATTAATATCAAAAGCGGAAAAAGGTCACGGTGACACAACGAGCGGAAAATTCCATTTACAGACTTAGACACTAAAAACACTAAAAAAAAATACTCCAGTATCATATGTATTTTATGGAGAACGTGTGCACAGAGAAAATAAAAAAATTAAATATTTTTTTCTCTGGGAAATGAAGAAATTACAGATTAAATATAGATAAAAACCCAGGTTCTGAATTTTATTTTAAATATATACCCCCTTAGAAATCAGTTTAAAATTACAGAATAAAAATATATATATATATATATATATATATATATATATATATATATATATATATATACTTTTATTTGATTAATCCAATAAAGGAATTCAAATGTAGCAAATCTTTGTTTTTAGCTAAATCACCAGCAGCTGGGCTGGTTGAAGACCCACGTCCATCTCGCCACCCAGTCGTGTCGGTGCATTTCCCCTCCAAATCTCCTGCTCGATTGCACGGCGTCGTGAAATTTTCTATGCCAGAATATTTGAAATGAAATTGTGTGTTTCAACAAAATGAAAAATTTGAAAGCTTACGACCAAGAAAACACAAATGATTAACCGTGACGCAAAATATCTCATCCTAGAAACCCTACGTTTTTAAGAAACCTGAGTGCTCCAACAATACGTCTCTCCAAATGTTCCCACCTTGTGAAGTGTTATAGGAGAATACTAAGAGCCGTCCCATTAACAAAGATGTTTTCCTGCATTGTTCGTTGCGAGATTATGCTGCTGCAAATGAGCACTGAATTTTTTTTTTTTTTTCCCAGGACTTTTTTACACATCTTTACAAGGAGCGCAATCGAATTTGTCTTGTGGTGTATGTTACATTTCTAAGCTAGGTGCTAAAATATTACTCAAACAGAAAACAAGTCACTTCAGCCCTTATGAATAATCTCTTGTTTGTTTTTGTCTTGCCCTCCGTGCAGATAACGTTTATAGGAAATGTCTTGAAAATGGGACGTGGGCGCTGAAGGGGAACTACTCCATGTGTAAGGCCATACTTCATGAGGAGGTAAGACTTGACAGTGTGCTGTTTGCATGCATGTGTCCTGATTAATGGGGCCTTTTGGAGTTCGTCTTCAAAGCAGGGACCCTGCACTTTAATCAGAAAAAAAAAAAACCCGACAACAGCAACAACAAAGGCAAGGTTAGGAGTGGAAGGAGCCGTTTGGCTTCAGGCGTATTTATAGTAAATATGGACTCAGGGTTTGGTTTCTCAAAGATTGCGTCCTCAGAGACGCTCAAGGGGGATGTGGGGGGGAGTCTAAAAATAAAAGTATCGACTGTGCATCGCCCATGAGCGTCACTGGGAGGAATCTGCTTCAAAGCACAATGAGTGAGTTTGAATGTGCATTGTAGGATGACTTTAGAGCCATCTTGCCTTGGTTGCATGACTTGTTTCATGGGTTAGTGGGAGCTCCTACTCCTTTTCATCAACTTTTTCCCTTTTTAAAACTGTTTCTTGTCTATATTCCATAAAATGAACAGCAGCAGTGATCGTTTCCCTCCTAAGTGTTTTCCCTAGAGAGCCGCATGAATTCTGCTGCTCTGATCCCGCTATGCTCCAGATTTTTATCCCTGCACATGTTGCTGTTATCTATTTGCACAATTTTTTATTTATTTTTTATTTTTTTGTCTCAGCCTCCACCTGGATGGTTCATTGTTATTACGTGACGAGCGCTTATTTTAATTAGGACAGAGCTACCGACTGAACACTCTGACCCAAATCAGGCTGTGACAATTAGACGTCTGATGGATTTGCGCTGTACGTAAAATACAGAATTACACGATGGAAACATGTGACTCGGCGCGCTTGCTTTGCTCCGCCCGACCATCTGTTGAATCCAAATTTTGCACACGCAGGCTGTGCAAATAGCGTACGTTTACTGATGATTATTCCCAGAAAAGACGATCTTGAGTGTTGCATCAAGCGAAAGTGGTGGATGCTTCCCTAACTGATGTATTTTTTTTTTTCCAGAAGTTTCACTTGTTGGTTATGTGCCCAGTCAGGCATAACCAAGCAGTGTGGTGTTGTTGTTGTTTGAATCACTCATCTATCAGAGCTATTTAGAAATGGACAAAATATCAGCCCATCCTTTGGCTGCGCACAAGTTAAGCTAAACTGGAAGTGAAGAGTTTTCACCGACAGGTCTGGAGATTAGAAACTCTACAGATTCTTCTAGTGAAGAGAAGATGTGATCCAAGCAGAATGAAGAGTCATTCTTCATTAGAATATTATCAAGAATCAAAACCGATCACAAGATGTTCTACTCTAGACGTTCAGTTCGGCTTTGAGCACACTCAGAAAACATGGTAAATATTAGCTGTAATCCGTCTTGGGAACACTGAGGCATTCCAAGGCGAGAGCCGGGAGATTTGCCCCAAGAGAAGAAAGTCCCTGCTTTTTTCTTCTTGCAACAGTTCGGAGGAGAGAGAGGGGGCGAAAAAGCAAATACCAGAAATAAAGGCAGGAAGTAGGTGGAACAAAATTACTTTATTAAATTAACTGGAAACAAAAGAAGCTGTCTTAGCAGTAAATCAAGAAGAAAAGCAGAGCTACGTGGGGGATGAAACGAACCATTGCAGTATAGGACGACTGAGACGAGATGAGCATCTGACTGAATAGGCTGAGAGATTTAAAGACTAACAAAGGACAGGTGGGCTGATTAGCGACGGACCATCTGTCTGCAGAGATCAGAACGTAAGAAAGTAAACATAAACGAGCAAAGAAAAGAAAACAGGGAGACAGAATCTAATCAAAAAGATAAAATTGTATAACGTCGAGAGAACAGTAAGAAGTATTTTCTCTGCAGCCGAGCATCAAAAACTGAGCAAAATAAGAATACCGGACTTAAAGTTGTTTCAGTCTCATATCCACTTATCTCAGATATTACTGTCGCGTTTGTTTGGCTTCAACAACTCACCAATCACCGTCCTCGATTCCCATTGTCTGTTTTTTCCCTTCAGGAAAAGCGACTTTAATGAGCACAGTGCTGCTCTTATTTGCTATCACCATAGAAAATCAGGCATCTTCTGCGGTTCAGAGGTCAGATGAAATCAGTTCTCATCTGATTTAAGATATTCCTTTGGGAAAGTTGCTGTGTGGCACAGTCGTCCGGAGTATTGATCAAATGTTGATTTAATGGCGCTTTCCCTGCACATGAATTGTGAGCGCTTTAACCTCACAGCTACCTCTGTGACCATAAATCAATGATGAATTAACAGCTTCTGGTTGCGGGAGCGGGGCTGTGGAGGTGCGCAGGATGTGACTCTAATTCAAAGAGGTACCTCTTTGTATTATCCGTAGTAGTTTATGTTTTTTCAGCAGATTCAAAGCTCTAAAACTAGCAATGCTGGCAAAAAATACAAGATTACTGCTCTTGGTTGATGCGCGATACTTTTCTTTTGAAGCTGGAGATAGAAATCACAGCTATCTACTGAACTTTGTTTGTGACTTTGAGGAGGAAGATTCTGGAGCTAAAAAGCACCAGATTTAGTACTTTGCTACATTTTCCTCGGCTCCACTTTTAGCTTGAATTCTTCAAGGCACGGACTACAGTAATGCAGAATAATACTCTTAATTATTCCCATCCTAACCTAATCATGTAGTAGATGGCAGCTCAGCTTTGTGCGATGTCGTGAAAAGTTTGTTTTCACCCAAAATATTATCAGTAAACCTGATTACCTTTTTAAAAAACCTACAACTGTGGATATGTGGTTGTTTGTGAGAAACTTTTTTATTAGTAAACTCAATAAGGAAGTGTTGTGATTTGTTCCTTCTTTCAGAAATGTCTTTGAATCCTTTAATTTAGTTTTTTTTTTTTTTTTTTTTTTTTGGCTGCTGATGGAAAGATTTCTTGCAGCCCTGAAGTCTGGATGCTGACATGGCGACTTCACAACCTTTATGTTATTCTTCTTTGGTAGCTGCTTTGTTGGCTTAGCGGTGCACCTTAAGTAATGCAAATTTAATTCAAAAATACTTTAGTTATCCCAAAGGGAAATTAGTAGTTGTTTTAACTCATATTAGTTGTTTTAACTCATATTACGCAAGCATCTTTAAAGAATCACTCTGAATGGTAATGCTGTGCTGTGCGGTAGCAGTCAGTCTTGCACCAAATCTGGGGAGGCCTCTGACTGAAGACTGTTGCTGGTTGACAGTGTTGTGACTCAATTTCCACGGAGCAGCAACAACTTTCCAAAAATGTGTCCTTAACGACTCCATCAGTCGGTAGCGAGCAATGCTAATCCACCTCCTTTGCTTTTTTGCTCCTCTTTAAGTCTCTGGCCGTGTGGTTAGAAAGTCGGTTAGAAAGAGACGATGGAGATGGGGATATGATCAGTGGAAGAGATGGTGGGTTGAGTTGATGCATAACGGCCTGATTTGTGTCTAATTTAGTCGCAGCTCTTTATCCAAAGCCATTAAGACACACTCCTCTCATCAACAAAAACAGTTTGTTTCTGAAGTACAGCTGTAGTTGTTCAGGTACTGTGGGCTTTTTAAAAATAATAATAATTTATTTGTTTTGGGAAATTATGGGAATGCAAGTTGTGATTTTTTCCCCCAATACACATAGTACTTTTAGGCTTTATACAGAGCTATGCAATAGTTGAATTACAATCTTGCAATATCAGTATGTAGTAATATAGGGTGTTTGTTATTTAAAGCACCAGACATGGAGATTCAGCATGACAGTAATATTTATTTTTGTTTGTTGGATTGACGTCCACTCCCCTTGATGTAACAGAATTTGCTGGCTTAGTTGCAAAAGTTCAAATTTTGAGACACCGCAGGCTAGTCATGATCGATATTGCCCAAGTAGCATTTAGCAGTATTTCTGTAACTCAATTTTGTCCGAATCTGTTACTGTGCAGCACTATTTTTGTGAGTGTAAAATGACAACGCTTGCCCCTTTGTGGTCTGCAAGAACTCTACCACAATTAGATGTGTGCAGTGTGGTTTGAAAAGCCAGAATATTGAGCTGTTAAGTACATTTTTTTTTCATTCTTCCTCTAAGAGACAGGACTTCATATTTCCTGTCGGGGGCTGTATGCGTTAGTGGAATCAGTATCTGCTGGTTTATTGACAGTAAGAAGCGTATAAAATATCACCTCCTTTGATATTTTTATCCTCTCTCTGCAGGCATGTCCTTTGGTTGCAGCCACCAAACATCTGCGGAGATGTAGAAACGCTGTTCCAACTAAAACCCGTCAGTTAGGGCTTTAAAAAAAAAAAAAGTTAGACTCTGATGTTCAATCGATCCAGACAGAAGATGGATATAGAGTGTCTGACCTTTGAAAATTGTTTGTTTTTTCCTGCTTTTGTAGCCGTGAAATAAATCACCAGCTGCCAGCCGCAGAGTGACTGACACGGGAGGGGGGGGGGAAGGAGCTTCTCTGTGAAGGTGTTTGAGTCGGCATTTTTAAATGGCTGAATGTCAGGGGCATCTTAGATCTGAGCGAACAGAACCAAAACCAGCCAGAGGACGACACGTCGGTGTTGACTTTGATCCCTCGTTTTATTAATGAAGGAAGAAGTTGGTTCTGCGCGTGGCAGGAAACCTCAGCTACACTCGGAACCTTTAATGGTGGTGTCAGTCGTTCCGCATGAACGACTGACAACTGGTATAACTAAAGCTATACCAACTCGATAATAAGCCGACTGCTGCGGTAATACGTACTGGAGGAGGCAAACGTTCAAAGGTCCTTCTAGGCAGACAAAATGAGTGGATCAAACGCTTATTAGGAAGTTTGTTTGAGAAGTAGATAAAACCGTTATTCCCTTTTTGGGTGCTGCCTGCGGTTGTTTTCTCAGTGTCTTTGTGGTAGACAGAAAGTGTGTCAGGTTTAGTTTTGCCTCTCGTGGCCCACATACTTTGAGTCCTGAGGCTGGTGGTGAGAGGGTCTTATATTATCCTCTTGTTGTCTCTCAAGCCCATCCCTGGTTTCTGCATTTTAAAGCCCCCTGTGTTCTTGAGTTATGTCCCTGAAGGGTTACTCAGCCCGGCACAAGGCAGTGTCTGGTACTGGACTATTTAGTGTTTTTCAAGAAGAAGACCACCCTTCCTAACTTCTGCTTTCATTCCATAAAACTGCCGGAGCAAGGCTTGCTTAACGAGGTGTTTCTTTTACATAAGTTTATTGGATATCTAGTGATTGTAAGGTGGAAAAGCTCTAGTTAGAAAACAGCAGCTTGCTGAGAATAATTAGGTCAAACAAGTACAGAACTACATGCAGTCGAAAAGAGATTTTTCCCATTAGAGATTTCTGTTGTTTTTGCTTATCGTCTCACTTAAACGTTTCAGACCCTCAAGAAAAAGAAAAAAATCACAATATCAATCAAAGATAAGCTGAGTAAATCCTAAATCATTTTTTCAGTGATGATTTAATTAATTACAGGATTAAACCTATTCAGATCAACCTAGTTCTGTGTGAAAAGTAATTTCCCCAAACCGGATAACTGCTTGTGCTGTTTCTGGTGGCAATAACTGGCATTTATTATTTATTTTTTTTATATATATATATATCATTGTGGAGGCATTGTTTTAATTTAGCCACGGAGGGACAGGAGTGTTTAAGATCACACCGCAACACCTAAATCAGTGTAAAACACTGAAACTGAGGACGTCGTCGTCACAAAAGACTAAACAGTGCAATTAAAAATATTTTTGAGCATGTTAATTGGTGTGGCATCTACTCCTCTAATGTTAAAAGGTAATTCAAAAAGCAGTAAAACTATCATGAGTGATAGTGATGATTTAGTATACTCTGGCAATGGCCAATTTTGTCAAAAAACAAAAAAAATTAAAAACATTGGTTTGTAACTGTTTCTAAAACATTTTTCTGGGTCTTTGAATGTCAACACCTGGTGTTTGGATGCAACTGGGGAAAAAAATCCTCCATGAATCCCATTCGGAGGATCATCCATAAATGTTGTTCATTGTTCTGAAAATGCCAATTTGCATCGCACGTTTGTAATCTGATGACATCGAAACATCTGCTTTCAGGCAGATGAAGGCAAACGCTCAGAAACCTTGCTGCCCTACCGTCCTCCAACTCTGAATTTACCGGAGAGAGGCTCAAGCGTGTTGCAGGAAGTTTATATTTAAATGGGTGAAATGATGTGGCTACGCGTTGGATTTTTGTCTGTGGAAAATCAAACCAGTTCTTTGGTGGTTTCCCACTGAACTGAGCCGCAAACTGCCGCTGAAGCTTAACAAGCACTAGAAATACAGCAGCCACGGGTCAAACCGGAGGGATTACACATTTCTGAAAGCAAAAACTGATTATCACTCGGAACTGTGCATGTGACATGAGTTTTGGACTGAAATATATATTTGAAATTAATTAAAAACTGTCATTTGTTGTTCATTCGGCTCAGACAAGGATTTCTCTGCCTTTATCAGAAAACCAACCGATCACAGTGACTGTGATCCACCTCTGACCCCGACGGTATTATAATCCAATGATTCATTCAAGAAGAGCTTCATTTCCACATCTCTTCCTGTGCTGGTTATCAAAGCCTCCAGCAGACATCAGGGATGATGTGGAGTCAGAAAGAAAAGAGCTGTTGACATCTTGCTCTGTGTCCACAGTGTCCTTATTAAGAGCCGCAGATTTGAGCCGGGGAACCAAAACACAGTGAAACAGATGACTCGCTTCAGAGTGGATGGGGTAGGGATTAAACATGCCCGCATTTAATCTCAGGATAGACACCAGCAGGTTACATAAATTCCTTCACAGCACAGATTAATGCTGGTAGTGTTGGGGCCAAATCCAATGACAATGGTTATCAAAGTCGCGGACAGTAGTATAAGTCTCCAATTTACGTGGAGATGTGAATTTATTTAGTCTGAACTCTTTGGAATTGGTCTCAGATGAAATCAGCAGAGGAGAAGCTTCTGATTTTAGCCATGAATCTTGAAAATCTTGTGAAATATTTTCTCTGTGGTGACTTTGAAGGGTCATGTATTAGTGATTGGGCCTATCATCTCTTGTCTCATTCTAAGATCTGTGTCTGAGGTAAGTGTTGGCATTCTCTGTTGCAACGTTTTCTTCTCTCAGAACCAAAAAAAGGTGACAAATGAAAAATTCAGCTAAAAAAAAATAAATAAAAGAATCAGGTATGCAAAGAAGCAGCTGCCCTAAGACCTCAAATAGTAATCATATTTTAGTCATAAAATCTGTTTTCAGCTTTCATAGCTGTTTCTAATTCTTCTATTTTTGCCTTTCACAATGGTGTTTTGAAATGTATCCTTTCTATGTATATAAAAATACTGCATTTAATACAAATAATAAATTATTGAAGTTTGGTTGAAAAGAAAATCACACTATTCAAGACAACAGCAGAAAGTCTAAATAAAAAATTCTCATTCAGAAAACACTTCACTGTTATCACAACTTGTTGTGGTTAAAGTCAGCAAAGCAAAAATGCTAAGTCATAAGAAGTTTTAGAGAGACACCCGACGAACTACATGAATTTATTGGCTGATGAAACTGATTCCTAAATCTGAAAATCATCATGTGGTGAGGTGCAATTTGACCAAAGACGTACAACAAACAGCAAAATTCATAAAAAGAAGCTGCAAAGAAACAAGACTGTAAGACAAAACAAATATGGCTGCTTATGTCAGTAGGTATTCATTTTTGAGGCTTCATCTAATAATAATGTCCGATTCTAATTAAAATGTGAGTACTGGCACTCCTACTGTGCAAGCATGTTCAAAACCTCCACAGGAGGCAGAACTCAAAAACTGACTCTTTTTTGGTCCCTCACCCCCTCCATCTGTGAAAATGCAAATGCTGCCAATCGTAAAAATGCACAAAAAAATAAAACTCATCCTATGTTTCTCTTCGTCCTGCAGAAAAAAGGCAAGATGCACTTCCAGATCGCTGTCATCATAAACTTCCTGGGTCATTGCATCTCCATGGTGGCTCTGCTCGTCGCCTTCTTCCTCTTCTTGTGCTTGAGGTAAGTGTTGGTGCTGATAATCCTAAAGACATCCTTGACGTGACAGAAGCGCCAGGATTCTCCTCATCCTGGGAGGTTCAAAGACTCTTTCGTTCTTATTCAAAACCCATTTGGCCATGGGATGAAACCTTCGCTATCTCAATCCAGCAGATGTAAAGGGGTTTAGACACCCGCAAAAACTGGGGCACACTTCCCAACAAACGGGAATAATAGACCCATCCGGAGAAAGGGTGAAAATCAAAACAGTCCTCTGGATGCCTGCTGGGATGAGGTGGGAAGGGATTCTTCTAACCGAAATAAGACGTGTGTTAACGAGAGAAAGGTCTTAGCACCCTCCATAGCCGGGCTGTTATCGATCCCTGAAAGAGCACTGGAGAGTGAGAAAAGCGTGAAAGGGCACAAAGAGGCATAATAAGTAGAAGCTCTGCAGGACCGCATTGATGCTTGCCGTGTTTTTGTTGACCGGAGAGGGAGAACAAGTGTCGGCCTGCTAAAAATGGCATTAAGCTGGAGAAGTAGTTGGCATTTATTACTCACCCTCTTGACTTCGTAATGAAACCAAGAACAATTTAAGGGAAGGCTGTCACTTGGCGGCGTGATGGGGAGAAAGCTTTGACACTCGGGCGCAGTGCTGTGGAACGAGGAGGAGAGAAAAAGGAGCAGGGCGAAGAGCGGGGTGCACATTTCATTTTAAATGGCAGGTGGAGCATTTTCAGCCAGCACTGTGTGACATTTCTCTGTGCAGGATCCAACTGTAAATGACCAGTTTTATGGCGATCTTTCAGCGGTGTACGCTGTATGTGCCTCGAGAAACACACCGCTCTCCTGGATAACAATGCGGCGCATTATGATGAGGCTTCAAATAAAAAAAAAAATGTTCGATGTTCCTGGGAAGCCAATTTTGGTCAGATGGATTCAGGTGAAAATGATCTGCATTTATATTGCATTTTTACAATTCTCCGCTCTCATCTGGACGTGACTCGGACAAATTATGGCAAGCAATTTAGGATTTATGTTCTCATTTCTGAAAGTACAAAAAGGTTTGACATTAATTTCAATAAACGGCTGATTTCTCCGTCCTGAGGGTTGTTCAACCCAGTCTAAACGATTTAAAGGGAACACATACCCCCTGTTTGTGAGGATGTACAATTGAAATAGATAATTGCATACACTGAAAAAATTTTTCCACCAGTATTTGACATTAAATCAGCATAAGACCTTCTTGTCTAGCTCACTTAATATCACCAAAAATAATTCCTCACATGCCAGAATGATGCAAGATACTTTTTATTGCTTCTTTCTTTTTTTTAAATTTGGATGTTCAAACAAAGGATTATGATGCTTTAAGAAAATCACAAAGTCCAGGCTGAATTTGAGCTATTCTGATTTTATTTGCAAAAGCTCATCTTATATCACATTGTTGACTTAACAAGTTTACACTGGGGAAAAATGTGACTATGCCAAAAATGTATCTCAATTTTTATATCTTTTTTATCTTTTTGTCTTTATTTTTTGTTGACAAATTTATCCTGCAAAGTGAATATTTTAAAAGTGCATTCCTTGAATGGTACCACATGTCTCATTAATTCCAAACCAAAACTATAGTTTTAACTCTATGTAGCAGATGCTTGTATTTGTGTTTTTGTGTATATTATTTTAAATTTGCCAGGTTTGTTCACTGAGCCTTGCCTTTCAGATCTTTGATGTTTGTTTTTGACTAATTAATCTTATGCTGTTCATGACCGTAGGTTCTGAGACAATTTGCGTTAAGATCTTAGAAACAACAACGACAACAACGGGCCTTGTACTGATACAACAGTTATCATAAGCCAGCAACCTCTGATTTTTTTATATTAAATGTTTGTTTCTGTTGCTTTAAAGTTCTCATGTTACCTTCATTGAAGGTGAGTTCCTACAGCTTGAAACTTAATATGTTATTAAACATATTTAAACAGGCCTGTCGCCTAAGCCTGACCTAATAGTGAATAGTGAATAGTGAATTGATCCGATTCAAACCAAGGTGGGTAAAATCTAATCAAACAACTTCTGAGGTCTTTTGTTCACCAACCCCCATTTAGTCCGGGTAAGTCCTCTCTGACAGCTGATCGACCCAAGAAACATAAATTAAAAGAAGTAAGAGCTTTGAGATAAGATCTTTTCAGCGGTTTCAAGGAACATGAACGACATTCCTTATCTCTGGCAGCTGGGAACCAATTTGTTTTGAAAAACTTTAAACTCTATCATTGGATGGCAAAGAACAGCCTGCAGAATCCTTTTTTATTATTGGGGGTAAAGATCTGAGAGTCCCAGAAAATTACTACTGGCAGCTGTTTCCTTCAAGCCCAGAGCTCGGGATTTCATTTCGCTGGCCTGTGCTGAGCTCCTTGTGGATATTTCCACTTATTGTGTGTTTGGATTATTAACGAGGGATTTGCTTATCTTTTATTACCTGCTATGCGATTCGTTTGCTGATAGCCCATCCTATCCGGTTCTTTACATCTGAAGTTCTGCACTAACCTTATCCAGCTTAGTGCTGTTTCCTACAAACCTTTTTTTTTTTTTTTTTTTTGCTGGGCCTTTGAAAATTTTGAAAACTGCAACAAAAAAACAAAACAAAAAAAAAAAACCTGCCCTCTGGCCATTTTTAGAACACCGTAAGAACATTTCACATCCTAAACCTTGAAAGTGTAATTAAAAGTGACTCTAGAAGGGATTTAATTAATACTTACAAGCATTTGTGCTTTCTAGCTGACAAGATAAGCCTACCAAACTATTCACTCTAACTGAATGGAAAATGTTAAGCACCTTTGTGTGACCTGGAGGTGAAGCGACATTAACTACTCTGATTAAAATCACATGGCGTGATCTGCACCTTTGCAGACAATTATGTACTTAAAGGCTACGCTGTAGATTTTACATTAATAATAGCTTTACTTAGTGTTCATTAAACATTGATCCCACAAAGAATGTGTTGTTCGCTCAAAGTTTTGTTTGACCATTTAAAACTTTGCTTTTTACCAGTTAATACCACCAAAATGCAAGTGTATTGTTGAAATTATTGATCAACTTCAAAACGTTTTCACTGAATTACAAGGAAGCTATATTCATTTGTAATGCTCTTTGTGAGGTAAAGGATGGAAACTGGAGATTTCAAGGTTTTCCGTCAAAATGTTCTAGATGATGTAAAGTGCCTCTCTAGCAACACAACAGTGAGCTACTCGGAGAACTCACTTGAATTTGAGTGATATCTACTGAGCTGTGTGTCGTTTTACCATATACATGTCAGTGGTTTAAGTATACTTCCTCTCTCATCTAAAATTAATAGCACTCTGCTTGTTGTTGGACTTCAGCTTTACTGGCATGCTTTTATCGTCACTGCGCTCTACGTCTTCCACATGTGTTTTGTTCTTCACAAAAAAATAAAAGGATTTCTGACAGGAAAAAAAAAGTGTTTTATTACCTTGTATTAAATGCTCAGGATGAACAAAGGTCTAGCTGTTAGTAGTCCAGCCACTGAAATGTTGTGTTTACCAACACTTGGCTATCAATCGTTGCCCATCCACTCATCATAAAGAGACAAAAGAGCAATTAGGTAGGGCGCAATTAGATTTGAAATTTAAGACTTTTCGTCATAAATTTGCTGCAAAAAAATAGACTTTCTGTAAAATAACCCAATATAGTCTAGGCACTTAACAGCAGTGTAGATTCCCTGCCAGTTAAGTCGTTAACAATATTTTCTTACCTTTTGTAAAGGTGCTGGTATCTTTAAACAAACACTCTCAACAGCCTTCCAGCTTATGATTTAGCCAAGCTTTCTGTTGAATAGCAAAGTGGAAGAATAATTGATTTGTCAACCCTTCTTAGCTCATTTTTTAAGATAGTACTGATAAAATTAATTGTTTACTGCAAGAAGGATGCTGTTTAATATGCTTATTAACCCCAAAACTGAAGGAAATAACTTTGTGAAGACGCCAGTTGAAGCTGGTATGATGGTGTAATTTTTATTTATATGCAGTGTGTATTAACAGAAAATACCCCAGATCTAAAAAGTGATCTCCTACAAAATATTTATTTTATTTTTTTTATTGTTTTGGTGTCTTAAACCTTGTTTTTGTTTTTTTGTTGTTTTATTAAAGCGGAGTTTGCAACATGCAATCACTTATTTACAGTGAATTCTCAAGCTGAGCTAACATTAGTGGATCTTCACTCTGAAGACAGTCACTGAGGACAGAGTGATGTATGCGCTCTGTGTAAAAGCTTACTATGCAATACCGCGGGTTTATTGCAAATAAGCCCATGCAGGACTTTTGAATCATCAGGAACTCGTCTGTTTGCAGTGCCCGTCTTTGGTGATTAGGCCAGACAGCAGAAGAATCAATACTGTCTCCCAGTTAGCGAAAGGTTGTGCACAGATTACTTATAAGAGACGGTAGAAGTGACTTTAATTATCTCAATTCTCTGTGCGGTTGCAATATATGTCTGAGTATTTCAACATCCTCTGAATGAATTTCACCCTTTCATTTAATCACTAGTTAGAGCAAATATATTTCTAATTTCCTAAAAAATATTGTTTGAATTATTTTGGATTTGGTTGAGAACGACGATGTGTCCCTTTTGCTGCTTCAGTGTATTAATGTTTGAAATGAGGGCGATAATAGATGTTTTTGAACAACAGCGTTGAGATCATGGTCAGTTCAAATTGTAAGCTGCAGTTGGCATTTTTTTGCCAACACAGAAAAAAGTCATGATTGAAACAGGAGAGAAAAGCATCAGATACAAAGTAAAGAGTCTTACATTTCATAAGTGTGAAGGGGTTCAGTGAAATATAGCCATTTAAATCTACTTGTAGTAAAGAAGTACTCTTGAATAAATCAAAGTCAGGTGCCATTCTATACAACTTAAAAAGTGGGAAGATTTCTTTCACAGCTGCATCATGAAATGTCAGCTTATCCTTTTTCACTACAGCTTAAAAAAACACATTAATTGCTTCTGTAAATGGGAACACAAGAGGCTCTGAAAATAATCTCATCTGAAGACTTTTAAAACCTGCTTGGCACTTTTCCTTCTACGTACTATTTACAGTGCTGACACGGCACATAAATCATCCATGATCAAATGACCTAAATATTTCCCTTTTGCCACTATATTCGAGATCCACTTTGTGAAATGATGAAAAATTCAGCTTCTAGCTCTCCTTCAGTTGTGTAAATAATAAAAACATTTCATGCAGGATTAAGCCCCAGTCAACATGTTAATGCAGTTGTCAGGTTGAGTGGGTACAAAGTAGGTATGGACTCCGAATGTGCTTTGCATTTTTGGACTGGTGGAACACAACCCATTTGGGCTCACCCAATAAGAGTCTGATCTAGGCCTGGAGTAAACGATTTCAGTATTTAAAAAGTAAGTGATCACTTTTTACAAGGAATTACAAGTGTTTCTTGTAACGATTATGTCCTACAGGTAATAAAACACCAAATTTCAGTGTCTCTGATAGACCAACTAAATTAGAATCTCTAATGCAGAAATGTTGGCCTACATTTCCATGTACCGTATGGAAATGTGTACTTTTTCATAAAGTAGAAGAAAAAAACAGAAATGAATACCTGACGGGTATAAAAGACACAAAAAAAATCTACATGAGCAGGCTTTTAGTGTAGATTTTTTTTGTGCCTATTTTGTGGTCTTTTTAGTAATTTTGTCAACACAACTCCTTCATAAGCTAAAAAGAAATTGTGTTTGGAGGATGTTTTTCTCCAAACTGAATCACAGGATTTTTGTTCAGTCATTAGTAAAGTGTTTTTCTAAAACTACACATGAAACCTTTAAGTCTAAAAAGTAAAAATGCCTAAAGTGTGTCATAGCTTACAATACACTGAACAAGGTACTTTGTAGTGAGTGAATGAGCGATACCTCTTAATAAGATGCAGTGCGTGTAACTTTGTCAGAGGTGAAAGCTCAATACGTGTTTAACTGCAGATCAATTCAAAGAACATTATTTATTACTATTACATTTCACAAACCGTTCTACAGATCAAGTGTGCTGAAATCCAGTCTTAAAGAGACACCAGCCTGTAGTTTTTAGATGCCTCTTTTTCCCAACACACCTGAATCAAATGAATCGCTCGTTATCAGGTCTGCAGGGCAGGAATTCAGCCATTTGATGAAGACATGTTGGAGAGGGAGTGCATCTAAAAGTTTCAGAATAGTAGCGTTCTAAGAACTGGACTTGGGATGCTCCACATCCTGCACTACATTCACTGCAAGGGTTTAAATGTGTATATCCAACACTAGACTCTCAGCAGGCCTTCAGGTTACTCCAAGGATATTGATCTGCAGGATGTCGCCAACCAAGGAAAGCAGCTGCTATTTAGAACTGATTTGGCCTCCAATATAATACATAATATGTCTAATTACTTCAATATAGACATGGTAAGTGCAATCTTCCGCTGCAGAAAGTGGTGTGACTGCTGCTTAATAAGATCAACTAAAACAATTAATGCACAATACAGTGTATCATTAAGATTTGTATGCAGAAGGATTCAGCTTTTCCCTGTAATTAACCCCCAGCAGGCCCCACCGGCACATCAGCACAGGAAGTGAGGTCACGCATCATAATTAATACGACCTTTTGAATAAAAAGCCCTCATAGTTTTGGCACGGCAGCCTCGCTAATCCTTAGAGCAGAACCAGAGAGGAATAAGCCACCTAATTGTCAAACAACACAATTAATGGAGCCGCAAATGTGTTTATTTTTAGCCTCCTAAACTTTCATGTCTCTAAAGTTGCTTTGATGCACTAAACAATAGTCCAACTAACTGGGAAATTTCTGGCCATGCTCACTGACACAGTCAGCACAAAGCCCGTGCAAGTGACACCTATTAAAAATGTATGCGTGCTAAAAAATAAATCATGTCGCCCGCTCTCAGCCTAAGAGAGCGCGGGCCTTGACTGGCTGATAATGCTGTCAGCTGGTGACGACAAATGAGGCTGTCACTACGATGTCTGAGGCTGGCTTGTTCTGTCCATTCAGCTGTGTGTTTCTATTTCTGAGCGCTCGCTTGGAGGCACTTAGGCAGATTCCTTAATTGTATCCCAGGGTCGGTTTATTTACATCATTAAAGAAACATGGCACCTTTAGGCACATGACACAACAGTGAAGACGACAGGATTTAAATGTTACTTAACATTTTTGGCATGCTGTCAGGAGCACTGGAAAATAAAAAATTCTCCTCAAAATTTCAATTATTTCTATAAATCCACCAAATTTTATCTACTTGGTCAGCGATCCGGTCGGTGGAGTCCGGCTTTAGTGGGTTAAATTCTGCTTTGCGTACGGTTCTGACTCTGCTTGTCTTCAAACGGAAGTCTGTCGTTAAACATGAAATTGTTCATGTCTGAGGAGCTGAGTTTATTCTCCCGTGTTGTTGTTCAGGAGTATCCGATGTCTGAGAAACATCATCCACTGGAACCTAATCACCGCCTTCATCTTGAGAAACGCCACCTGGTTCATCGTCCAGCTGACCATGAGCCCAGAGGTGCACGAAAGTAACGTGGTGAGTGGAGGTTAACTTAGACATCAAGTTGCTCACTGGAGCTCAAAATCTGTTCTCGTCTCTATATTTTACTTAACTTTTCACCTTGATGGCAAAGAAAAATTATGGGATTTTTTTTTTTTTTTTTAGAAGAATCTAAACTAAAATCAAAAAACAAAACAGAAAAGATGCCCAAAGTCTAACCTCCTGTCTGAAAGTTTGGTGCAGAGAGAATGTTGTCTTAAGTAAATGAACAAGAAAATCCAACCCTTTACTGTGACCAAAAAGTCACCTAATTAAAAAAATAAAAAAAAGATATACTCAGGTTCATTTGGATCGAGCTGAAACAACAGATCAAACCCGCATATTCACGACTGGAGGTTTTTGCTTACATCTCAATAGATAAATAAATGAATTTGAACGAGAAAATCTGTCTTGAATCACAAGACACAAATAGAGATTTATTTCCTCGTTACATTGTTGTTGTTTTTTTCATCATTATTATTTCCTCAGCTTTGGTGTCGACTTGTCACTGCCTCATTCAACTATTTCCACTCCACCAACTTTTTTTGGATGTTTGGAGAAGGCTGCTACCTTCACACTGCGATCGTCCTCACCTACTCCACTGACAAGCTCCGCAAGTGGATGTTCATCTGCATCGGCTGGTGTATGTACATCTTCATGTGTGAAATGCTCAGTCAAATCTAGCTTTTTTTTTAAAACTTTTAGAATTGTGAACAGGTATTTTGAGAAATGCATTCAGAAATGTTCTTGCAGGAAATTAAACAGAAAAGGTTGTGACAACCAACAGTATAATATGTAACTGCACAATTAACAAAATGCTATTACCTTATTTGCTTAAACACCTTATTGCATTATTGGCAAGTTATTAAATTACTAGCTTTTCTACATTCAAAATGGCCAAGATGATTACATTATCAGTAGATGTTACATTCCTGGCAGTCGCTACATCACTGTTCTTCCAGATTGATCCAAAAGAACTGTAAACATTTCTTAATAGAAACTGATGTTTAAGTTCCAATATGCTAAAGTGTTAGCTTTCTGACAATTGCTAGCACCACCGTAAAAATGCTAACTTGTTCGGTGCGCAATTTATCTGTCAGCACTCCTAAAATCGGACTTTGGAGTAAATTTGTCGACAAACTGCAACAAGACAACGCAGGACAGTGCTGTTTGCGATCGAGATATGGAAACCCAGAATAAGTAAAGAAGTTCTGGAGGTTAACAAAATATATATTTTGTCAATTAGATCAATAGTCAGTGAAGGACAGCAACCTTTGAGGACTGGATATGGACATTCATGGCGTAGGTGTTAAAAACAAAGTATTCCTTTTTTTCATAAAAATAGATTAAAACAGAATAGTTATTAGAATAAAATTATTCATCCAGTTATTTATGACTTCAAACTCACTCGTCGAAAAGCAAATTTTTTTGTTTTTGTTTTTTGGGGGGGGTTTTTTCAGTTTTTTTATTGGTAGAAATTGTTTGTTTTGTCAAAAGTTTTAGATGCTCCAGTTTTTTTATCCAGCCACTCTGTGTTCATTTAATCTCAAAAGACGTAACTGAGGGTTAGATGAAATTTTGCCAACAATAGGAGAGTTAAATGGATGGAGACGCTGGGATTTCGTGTGGCAGCTGGGAAATGTATCGTGAAGAATTCACAAGCTCCCCATTTCCAAACTGTCAAACCAGCGTCTATACTGCTAAGATTAGGTGCATTGTGTGTTGGCTGAATTACATTTGCTGCAGGAAACTTCTGCGTGATGAGATGATGGCAGTGCATTCCAGAACAATAAATAAAATGTACTTCTTTCTAGCCTTGAGTAACTTTCTGGCTTCCAGAGCCCTTGTTTTGTCACAAAAATTATGTTAATTTGCTTAGGAGGAGCTTTCTGGGTAAATCCTCTCGAGGTTTAGCATTTCACTGCTGAGGTAAGTGACTAATGAGGCAGAAAGTTTCTTGAGATTAGGAAACTTGAGACTCGACTGTGTGACGTGAAGGCTTGCACGGCCATTTGATGCCTCTGGTAGCATCATTTAGATGTTGGTAATTACTGTTAGTCTGCCTTATTAAATTTCTACAAGTCTGTAAATCATCACATCGCTCTGGATTATCATCTGGTCCTTATTCATACACGTAGAAGCAGTTGGATGGTGGCAAGTCTTGGCATGTGTATGCATAACAGCATGGAAACAGTGATTCCTTTTGACAGAGCTTGGCAGGCGTTGATGCTCTGCCTTTAAAAAAAAAAGAGAAAAAAAAAGCAGGTCAAATTTCATATTTCAATAGAAATTTCATAGAAGGTAGTGTGACTTGATGAGCAGAGAAGGAACAATCTGTCACTGTGTCTCTGCTGTTTCTTCGCCCCTCAGGTATACCTTTCCCTATAATTGTGGCGTGGGCCATCGGGAAGCTGTACTACGACAACGAGAAGTAAGTCATTGACTCTAAGACTGCTTCTGACATTCGAGACTGAACTACTCCGGTAATAAAAGGAAAAGGGCAACGCCAAACCAAATTACATTAACAAAATGAATGTGTATTAATTATCTGTTGTAATTAAATTAGCATTGTGGAACTGGCTGTATTATTTATCAGCACAGACACTATTTTCAACTTGATTGGGAGCGCTTGTTCTCCGTTTCCGCGTATTGCTATAGTAAGAATTGCCTCTGTTTCCCAGCAGTGAGTCACTGAATTATTAGCGAGTATACTGATTTCTTTTTTTTCTTTTTTTTTTATTGTTGGCAAACCTGTTAAAACACACACACACACACACACACACACACACACACACAGCGAGATTCAGACCCTTGTGGATCATATTTCTCTGAAGCCATTAGGTTGTGAGGGACACGTTCCTTCATTACCATGAAGTTATACACTACAGTTGATTATGATTCACTCCCGCATGGACCATCCTGCTGCCAGAAAAAACTCACTGGAGCACCAAATGTATTCGAATCAACTTTAATGGCCATATGTGTTGTCAAATACTAAAGAGTTGGTTTGTTTGCCCATTAGCTGCAGAGAACAAGTCTACAGGGGAATGCAAATACAGACACAAAGCTAAGAAAAAAGAACCGTAAAGCTGGATTATTAGGTTATTTTTGACCTCGCATATTGACATTAATCAATCTGGCATAAAAAATAAAAAATAAAACTGTGAACCAAATTTAGGAATACATACAACATTCACTTATCAGCTCTGAAATAAACTCATTATTCCCTGCATCAGCATATTTCTCATATTGAAAAATCTATTAAATTATGGCATTTAGAAAATGACACATTTAATTAGTCATAATAATATACTGCTCATGCATGTTCTCCCTGTGCATGCGTGGGTTTTCTCCGGGTACTCCGGTTTCCTCCCACAGTCCAAAAAAAAACATGACTGTTAGGTTAATTGGTCTGTCTAAATTGCCCCTAGGTGTGTGTGTGTGTGTGTGTGTGCGCATGGTTGTGTGTCTGTGTTGCCCTGCGACAGACTGGCGACCTGTCCAGGATGTACCCCGCCTCTCGCCCGGAACGTTAGCTGGAGATAGGCACCAGCACCCCTCCCGACCCCACTGAGGGACAAGGGTGTTCAGAAAATGGATGGATGGAATATACTGCTCAAAAAAATAAAGGGAACACTCAAATAACACATCCTAGATCTGAATGAATGAAATATTCTCATTGAATACTTTGTTCTGTACAAAGTTGAATGTGCTGACAACAAAATCACACAAAAATCATCAATGAAAATCAAATTTATTTGGAGCCACACACAAAATTAAAGTGAAATGTTCCCTTTATTTTTTTTTAGCAGTATATATGACTTAAGTCATAGTTTCTACTAAATTACTGGTGCTGCCATTATTGTCTGCCCTATAAAATTCATGTCCATTTAATTGTTTGTTTTTTTTGTAATTGATCAGAATATCTGGGATTGTTTAAAATGTAACCAACCAATGGTTTCTTGCTTCCCTGGACTATGAATACGCCATGAAACAGAGGCTTCATATCTGTTCAGCATGGTGCTTTCTGCCTCAGTGTGTTCAACTTTACTGCACATTTATGACCAATCAGAGTAAATATGTCACACACATTCAAGTCAAGTCAAGTTTACTTGTATAGCGCAGTCACCAAATTATCAAATAAGAATTAAATATATTAATTAATATAGCTCATCGCTACCTCATCCTTCACTTGTGTGTTTGAACAAGCGATCTTGACCATAAAGTGTTGAAGTCATACAAAAACCAAATTTACACAATAGTCAAGGGGACAACTTGATTTTATCTCATCTTTGTTACTTTTCATACCTCCACTGACTGAATATCAGTCTCACCTTTAAGGTTTGGTCCATCCACAGCTCTGTGGTCTCGTCATTAGTCAACCGATGAGTAGTAGGTGGTGCCTATGACATCGGTATGTGCTGCGCTTCCTGTGGTACACCATTCCAAGTTTCACACTCAGACATTTTTTTTTTTTTCCATTTCTGAGTGTCTAGATGCTCCTGACAGATTTTTGACTCAGCTGAAGGAAACTGTTTCTTTTTTCTTTTTCCAAAACTTGACAAAGTCATCATTACAGCTGCGTTAGGATTCAAATAACTCAAGCATACATTCCTGATCAATCCAAAATGTTTTTTTTTCTAGTCATTGACAAAGTTCTGCCTGCAATAGAGGTCACTTTGACATAGATGAAGAGAAATGCTTTTTTTAATTGCAGTAGAGGAGTAGAGGTAAAACTATTATAAATGTTCCTCCACTGGTCTTGTGTTTTTTTTTGTGTGTTTTTTTTTTTTTTTTCCAAGTACGCAACCAAATCTCCTGAACTGGTGTAGAAAAGTTAAATTTCCTTCTAAATATCCACACTTTTTTTAAAATCAACTTCTAAAGTTTTTCTTTAAACTCTTTTTTTCCGTTTTCATTTTCAACTCAAGCCCTATATTTTACCCAAACAACAACCCAAATGTTTCCACAACAGAATCAAAATGTAGAGGCATTAATTAGCATGAGGTTAGATGATCAAAGCCAATAAAACAGCTAAAGTACCTGCTCATAAAATATGTGAATTTATCTTCCCAAACAGTAGGTCATCAAAGAGAAACTGAGAAAATTTGCAAAAGAGATGCTGGTAGTCATAAACTAAACACAGTGAGAAACACTGTTTATTAAATTTAAATCCACCTAACAAATGTCTAAACACAATGATGCAAGTGAACTTTAAACATAAACCAACTGATTTAATAAGCTGCAGGGACAGTTTCAGTTCAGGGTGTTTTATTTTTACAGCTGATACTGAATGAGCTCATTTTTCATAAAAAATTTTATTGCCATTTTAAGTAAAAAGTTTAAATTCTTTTTTTTTCTTTCTTTTTTTTGATTTATTGAGAACAAGTTATGAAACCTGAGAATGTTACACAGACCAAATTCAGTTGCTGCAGTTGGACAAAAAGTCTTCAAAATAAGACAAAATCACAAGAAAGAAAACCAGTTTTATTCACTAGCTGAAGATTTAAGTTTAACCATTTTAGGCAAAAAGCTTAAATCTTTTTGTTTGATTTATTGAAAGCAAGCTGTGAAACCTGATGATGTTACAGAGTATTTCAACTTTTGGCAAAACTGTTGTTTTAGTTGGACAAAATATTTCAAAATAAGACACAATTACAAAAAAGTGTGTTATTCACTAGGTGAAGATTTTGGCTTTGAAAAAGGTCTTTAATAAAATATATTACCTGTCCAGGTTGTACCAAGGACCAGTCCCCAGTGACTCTGCAATAACAATTGTTAAATGCATGCTTTTTTTGTTTCATCCATGTTTTGATCTTGTATTTTTCAAAGGCTGGGGCTGCATTTTTTTTTAAAATAAGGAAAGATAAAATATCCTTTAATTCACCTTGGCTCTCCAGTAAGTTTTGTTATTAGAAAATTATAATTTAACCAATAATAATTGTGTTGGAATGAAAGCTTAAATGTGTTATTAAAAACCTAACGCATAGTTCTACTATTTAACAAAAGCTAACAGGGCAAACAGAAAAAATATCAATATTATAAAACCAAGAACAAACAACTCCACTTCTACAGTTTAATGGTGAATTTCCTAAAATAATCTTAGTTTTTTTTAAAGAACACAGTGAACTAAATGGCATTTGACAATAACTCCAACCCTAAGCTAAAAGCCTTTTGAACCCTGAGGTCTTGAGCTCTTACACTGTGAAGATTGTGGGGCGCCATCTGCATGGATTGGAGACCTTTTCCGAGAGCTATTTATTTGGATGTTTCCACCACTTCTCACTGCCCTTCTTCCCACCACGATTCTAAAAGTCACAAGAGCAAAAAAAAATTTACCAATAAAAAAGAAAGAAAGACAGAGACCTCACATCAGATATGCATTTTACTAGGTTATTGTTTGATTCCGGCAACAATCTTTGATTTGAGCAAAAAATATATATATGTCTGAATACAAGTTTTGAATTTGTCCTTCTTTACGTTTGTGATGAAATTGGAAAATACCTCTGCACTTTTGAATCACTCCACTGTTTTCTTGTGCACTATCCAAAGCAAAGATTTATTTGTAACAATTTGTTTTTACTGAAACACAAGTGAGAATAAATAAACAGGTAAATAATATGAATAAATGCTAAACGTGACGTAATAAAATGTCTCCTCTTTGGTGATATCTAAACTTGACAGAACGTTTTTCTTGGTTTTCCAGGTGCTGGTTTGGGAAGCGACCCGGTGTGTACACCGACTACATCTACCAAGGTCCCATGATCCTTGTGCTGGTGGTAAGATCCTGTTCCGTCCTTCAGTGGTAGATTGAACCTGTCTAGCGCAACCTGCTGATGTAATTAGTCTTCATTATGTCTCTGAGCTGCCTGGCAGCCAAGCGTACCTGGAAACTACAACACATTCTTCATGTTAAGGTTGATAAATGTGAGCGTGAATCACATTTTTCCTCCGAGCTTAACGTTTAAATCTCTGATATTTGACAACGTCTGGCATTCATTTAAGATTCTGGGATGGAAAAACAACAATGAAGTCAATGTGCATGTTCGCCTTTGTAGGATATATCTTTAACAGTCAGTGGGTGATTTCCAAACCCATAGGGGAGGATTTTGATCACTTTATGTCATGACCTCTTCAGGTATGAACTATTGTGAAGGCATCATTTTATCATTTTAAATGCTAAGCTTTCAGTTTGGCTTTCAGTTGCGGCTAAAAGGAATGCTCGGATCTCTTAAATTAGACATAAACCTTCATGTTTTTTATTGTGTAGCTTCTTGCCAACTTGTAATGCTCGGCTCATCATATGAAAGATTTTACAAATCGACCTTGGATTTAGTTTGGCTCTCTGTTCAAGTTTTAGTCATATCTAGTCTTTTCCCGCACTAATGACGTCCTGACTCAGCTGCCAATACGCTGTCCTCAGCCCAGCTGTGCAAAGCAGTGCATACACGTCTATGTTACCGTGTATAAATACATATTTAAAAACTTCTTATTCTCATCTTTAGCATGGATTTATTGTTTCGGAACTTCTAAACATTTATTTAAGTTGTACTTCTTTTCAAACAAATGCAGTTGCTTAAAAACAACACTGCAAGCTGCAGAGAAGCCAGATGCTTTGTGTAACCATCACCAAGGTTCTGGGACAATTCCGCCTTGAAATTTGACCTGTCTTCTTTTCAGAATTGGTGGAGTTCATTTGAATTGATTCACTTCCTGGAGCAGACCCAGGTTTTAAGCTGTTCATGCATGTTCAGCATCGCTGAGGTCGGTGTATTGAGAAAATTGGAGCTGGCCTGCTTTAATGTATGGAAAAACCAGTTTGCACATGTGGTTTGGATCATCTTCCTGTTACATCCCCACACTGTGTCCAAGTTTCAAACCTGCTGGGTGGCTAATTTAAGGTGAATTCATTGTAGTTTTCCTTTTTAATTATTCCATTGACAATGCAGCAGGACCACCACCACACGGCGTGATGTGTGGCAGAGAAAAACTCTTTAACTTTGCAAATGTATGCAAGTATAATCATGTTTCACACAAACAAACACCGAAAAATATTTTTAATACTCCAGTTTTAACATTTACGGTAATTTCTTTTGGTCCAACATATTAAACTGAGTTGTGCCTACAGAAAACAACAATACAGCCACATGTTTCCACATGTTGAAGCATTGCGTGTGACTAATAATAACTTTGCCAAGGATGTTTTTACATGACGACTCAGATGTAACCATGAGCAGATGGATGTGAAGACTTAAAAAGGGAAAGTTGGAAATGAGTCAAGCTGCCCAGCAACAAAATAAATAACAGATCAATAGATTGGACTGGATCAGTTTTTCCAGCATGGTTTGATAGCAGTATCTTAAAGGAATTCTATTTGGGTCAAAATTATTGGTTTCCACATAATATGTAGCCCAGGTTTAAATAATTGCACGGTCTTAGCAGTGTGTGTATTCTCAGGGACAAACTATTCCATAGATTATAAGGCAGCCACTGCATATTTTTATCTGGGTGTTGGAATGTCTAAGAGGAATCAGCTGGTGGACTGAAGTGCTCACATAATGGACTACATTAAACCAGCAAAAAAAGAAAATGGACAGCCGGTGGAAAGAAACCAGAACAGCAGTCATGGTAAATATAAAGTGCACTTTTCTTCAGTTGTACGTTTTTTACATGTTGGCCTTGTTTTTACCTAGTTTGATTATTATTATTATTTTTTTTTTTTTACATCTAACTTGGATGTAAAAAAAAAAAAAAAATCTATAATATTCTCATTAACATACAACAATCTGTTAAAAATAACTTTTTTTCTCTCTCTTTTTGCTCCCACCCCCTCCCCTCAAAAAACCTGGTTCAATAAGAAAGAAGCAGGGCAAAAGTGGCATCAGTGGTTCAAAGGCCAAAAACACTACCAACCAAAAATAACACAAAGGTCAGATTCACATTTTGTCAAGAGCATCTTGATGATGCTCAATACTTTTGGAAAAAAATATTCTGTGGACTGACAAGACTGACAAAACTATATTTATAGGGTAACACTTTATTTGAAGGGGTGTGCATAAGACTGTCATGACACTGTCATAAACATGACATAACATCTGTCATGAACATGAAGGAGTCTTTACGAATGTTTATGACAGTTGTCATGAAGTGTCATTCAGTAAATAATGACACTTTTAATGCAAAGTTGCTCTAAAAGTTGCTTTAAAAATCCATTAAAAGTGCCAACTTTGCATGATTTTGTAAATTATGATAATCTAATGCAAAGTTGGCATTTTTAATGGACTTTCAATGCAACTTTTTGAGCAACTTTGCATTAAAAGCATAATTATTTACCGAATGAAACTTCATGACAACTGTCATAAAGATTTCTTTATGTTCATGACGGGTGTTATGTCATGCCTTCAAATAAAGTGTTACCATTTATAGTTTTCCAGACAATAGTGGAATACACAAAAACACGCAAAAATTACAATTTTACAATTTTTTTGACTATTATAACCGCTAAGCAATCTCCCATACAGAAATAAGTTATTTCATGCAATTAAGTATTGGCAAAGCTAAATGTAAGGTGGCAGAGGGTTATTGCCAGCAACTGCCGAAAGTAACTAAAAAAGTTACTTTTAATGTAACTTAGTTTCTTTCCAAATCAAGTAATCAGCATTCTAAGTTACTTTTTCAATGAGTAGTCAGTAATCCGATTAAAGTTACTTTTTTAAAGTAACTATGCCACTTGGGTTATGCATCAAGTAAACTAGTAAGTCCACATCTGCACGACTCAAAGAATTAAAAGGAAAGTTTTGGACTAGTCGGACTCTAGATTTAAATTTATTGAGACTCTATATGACTTCAAACTTATTCTTTGCTTATGCTTACATTTTTTCACTTGATGAACCATAAGGTGTGTTTTTGCATCTTTTTTTTTTTTTAGAGAAAAGGCTTTATCTTTAAACAACTTTAAACAAGTCATTCCTGTGTGCTTTTTATCATTGTCTTTCCATGAACATTAACATTAGGCATGCCAAATGTGGTCTGGTCTAAAATGGAGCTCTGGGATATTTGGCCTTTTTTTTTTTTTAATCATTGCACCATTCGACCTTGGGTAAGTTTGTCTGGACATTCTTTCCTGGGAAGGTTAGGAGCTTAAATGTTTTCCACCTGCAAATAATCTTTGGTCCTGTCAAATGACTCCAAATTGTTTGAAAAATACTTCATAATTCTTTCCAGATTGATGGCAGCAATAACTGCTTCTCTAAGATTGTAGCCGATGTTTCTCCTGCTCGGTATTACGCTCAGCATTGGACCAGAAGCGCATGGCTTCTACTTTTTGGTTTTGTTTGATGAATAATGACATCAAGGAAATTTTTTGTAGACATGAGGTCAGATTAGAAAAGATTTAGAACCTTGCTAAGAACAGAACGTTATTATACTGTTTTGGTTTGTACAGGAACTTATAATTAAATTAGGCCTGGCTTAAAAAAAAAAATACAGTAGTTCAAAATGATGCGAGCACTTCCTTTAGGGGTCTCAACATCTGTCCACGTGGCCTCCCTCAGAGACTACTCTCTGTGCCAAAACTCGTCTGACTGCGACTGTTTGGACGTGTCCCTGCTGAGTTTCAGTCAATGTCCCTGCCAGCGATCCACTGGTGGAGTGACCTTCCCAGATCTTCTCTCCTTAAAAAAAAAAAAAAAAAAAAAACTCATCTCTTTAAGAGGCACTTCTCTGAACTGTTTCTGTCTCTCCTCAGGCAAACATCTGCCTCATTCAATCCCTCTTTCTGCTGCTATGCTTGGAAAATCTCCAGTCTTGCTTACAATAGTGCTTTCTCGTGGGCTTTTTGTGTCTTTGCCAAGCACTTGATCCTTCCGGATCATCACCGGGGTCACAAGAATATTTGTGGTCGCTCCTGCGAGGGGGGGTCGTGAACTCTTCGCAGCTTTTATTATCAGCACTAAAATGATGTCCTGCTACAATGAATTAATTCAGGATGTTATTAAAATTGTTAACATCAGCAGCGATGCACGAGGTTAGCAGAGCGTGTGGTTCTGGAAAGACCGGCATATGTATCTGTTCCAGCCAAGGTCGGGTCATCTGGCACTGGAAAGTATTCCTGTGGCTATTTTTTGCCTCTGTGTTACATCATCCCCACCTCTTGCATGAGCTATTGATTTTGTCATTCGTCACATAGTGGAAAAATAATCTCAAGTAGCACTTCAGATTCAAAGTAGCTACAGTTTTTTATCTTTCATTATTATGTACTGCTTGCATTATTCCATATCTTCCCGCTGCCAGTAAATCCTCCAAAGTCTTAAAGAGCTCAGCACCTCATTGTGATGCAGATCTTGTCGACGTGAGGTGACACGCACCTCAACAACCTACCAATGCAGTTATTTCCAGGCAACACCATGCAAAGCCCTGAAGAGCGCCGGGTTGTCCGATGATTCACTTCGCTGCAGGTGTTCTGCAGAATTGACTAATTTAACTGATAAAACCACAGCAGGATGGTCAGGTGGAGCAGGACTGGACCTTGCAGGATGTTAGCGAGATCTTCTGAGTCACATTGAGCTCCTCCTTACTCCCAGTTATTGGACATCCCAAAACTATTATTAGACTAAAAGTTACAAAGAGATCATGACATGTTATTATTGTTTTGGTGTTGAAGTTGTGAGCGGTCCATCATGTGGGACTGTTTTAATTGTGTGGATAGAAATTTAAAGCGGAACTAACCAAGCTTAGTTGCATTTCTTTTAAGAATTTACTGTAAAGCTCTTGGCACCACAATATATATTAGATCCCACCTGGCGTCAAGGTAATTGATGCTCCTTTTTCTAAAATAACTGAAGAAATTCCATGTCGTTCCATTCTAGTTATATTAGCTAGTCAGCCGGTTGAAAAAATGTCTTACAATTTTACTCACTTATAAGAAGGACACTTTTGGCTCTTTAACTTCATGGTGTAGAAACTAAATAAGTGCCACTCATCACTCTTACTATTGTAATCTACAATAACATGACGAAGTTAGCTATCAGAGGAGAAAGCATGACTCGTTAATCAGCTGATATTAGATCATTATTTTACTCTATTTTACTTTCTGCTTGGTGAGAACAGCCAAAAATTTAATATCTTTTTGTATTAAAAGAACTGCTACTAAGTTTAGCACATTTTCATTTTAAGATTTTGCATGTGCCTACAATTAAAAACAAAATAACAATAAATGTATGTTATATATAAGAATACTAGAACTGCAGACATCATTATGTTGTTGCATTTCTTTCTCTGAAATAAGACATATCAACTTTTTCTTTTTTTTTCTTTTTTTTTTTATGTTTTGTGTTAACATTGTGAAACGGCAGAGTTTTTGCTCAAGGTTATACAGTTAGAATCTCGTAACAGGCCAAGCAGACTTTTCGCATGAATAAATAGTGTTCCATGTTCAGGGCTCTTGCACATAGAAATCAATATGATTTGCACTCCCCCATGGAGACAAGGACAGAATGAATGCTTTCCGTTTGCACATATAGTCTTGGCTTTTGCTGGTCACTAGGAAGTTAAAGGATTTCAATTTTTCAAGGTTTGTAGATGAAGAATCTTTTTAAATGTCTCATAGTCTTAAGATCTGCCTTTGAAATTCTTAAAGCTATGTCATCTTGGAAAGATCCAGCACATAGTTTTCCTAAGATGCAATGCAATGCACAGAAAATACACGTTTTTAAAAGTAGCTTAGACAATTTAAACAAAACTATATCTTTCTCTGTTTTCTCGTGAATCCAGAAGCTCAACATGTCACTTTTCCCCTCTTTCCTTCCATGTTAAAAAAAAATTAACACCAGCTTTCAGTAGGCTTTCCCCTCAATCTGCATGGCACAGAAACAGCTCCATTCATTAATAATTATTCCTATTTGCCTGTAAATTATACAAATACATATAAAAGGGAATGTTTTTTTTTTTTTTTTTTTTGTTTTTTTCCCCAGAAAAAGCAAGTGCATAATGCCTTAGAGTAATTTGGAGAGCCAGTGTCAGAGCAGAACAGTCCTTAACAGATTGAAATCTTTTTTGAAGTTTTTTCTTTTATAATTTTTTGGATTTTGCAAGTAGTTTTCAAACACTTTTTACCACGTTAAGAAAATAAAAAAACAAAATCCCAACTTGAGGTCAACACTAAGATGCTAAATTTCTATTTGATATTCACCGAGCTGCCTTCGATTTCCCCACAGATCAATTTCATCTTTCTCTTCAACATAGTGAGAATCCTGATGACCAAACTGCGAGCCTCTACGACGTCCGAGACGATCCAGTACAGGTAGATTTCCTGTAAACCTGCTGCTGAACCTGCAATAAACAGGCTTAAGAGATGAGCGCGCCTTGAATTATTCATGTTTCGTCCTCCGTTGGTGGTGCCCGGACCCTGAAGGGCCTTTTAGCGTGAAGTGAAACACTGAGCCCGAGTCTCTCTGTCACGGCTGCCTGATCTACGTTCTCCTCGTCTGCAGGAAAGCTGTGAAAGCAACGCTGGTACTCCTTCCCCTCCTGGGAATCACCTACATGCTGTTTTTTGTCAACCCAGGGAAGGATGAAATTTCTCAAATGGTCTTCATATATTTCAACTCGTTTTTGGTGTCCTTCCAGGTAGGATTTATCCTGCATTCAACAAAAAACAAACACACACACACAAACGGAGTGTAATGGCGTCTCTGTGTGGGTGGATGTATCATTTGTCTGATTTATTTCAATGTAATTGTAATGAGTGCAAGAAGGGGGAAAAAAACGCTGCTGAGATGATTAAATGTGCGACATAATCAGCTGTATAAGGGATTTAACCAGGATCAGGGCATTGATGATGATGTTTTGTTCTCACTTTATCTCCCCCCTACCCCTCCTCTCTGCAGGGCTTCTTCGTGTCAGTGTTTTACTGCTTCCTAAACAGTGAGGTAAGCAGATTTACACTGGCTTATTGATTTAACATATCAACGTTTTAAACCTCTTCCCTGATGCAGGAGCTTAATGATATTCCCTCTCCTCCAGTGCCTCCGCTCGGCTTTTGGTGGCTGTTTGCTGCATGTTTTCGCAGCTTGAGGAAAATGTATTTAGGGCACAATTAAGCCTTGTGATGTCCCGACATAAGTGACATCACTTTCTACGCTGTATGACACTGTCAGCCCTAATTTGGTCCCAGGGGGAAATCAGGGGTGAAACCAACTCAGAATAGAGCTGGGACGTGCATGCAGGGAAATACGTTGCTTTTTATGGTAATGTTTGAATAATTAGCAACAGTTTACTTTTTTTTTTTTTTTTTTTACTGTATGCAGCTCGGTAAACAAATCAGTTCTGTGCAGAGGTTTAGAGCAGTAAAAGACTTAGATTCAGGACTTACCTGAAGGTCTTACAAGCCAACCAGGTGTGTGCAATTATTTTTTCAAAGGTCCTTATGAGTAATTAAATTATTTGTTTTTGAGGGTCGGTTTATTGGTTGAAAAACTGTTAGTAATCCTGTTTAACACAAATAGTAAACCAGGCAAACAAATGGCAGCCCCTCAGTGCGTTTAAGCAACAGAAGTTCAAACCAAGCATCAGAACTGAAAGAAATCGTGAATTTGAATGAATCCTGATTGTTGAGGCAAAACAGACTAGTCTAAATGCTTCAGAAACTGTTGATCTACTGGGGTTTTCACACAAAATTTGTCCCTCAGATTAGAAATAGCTGAAAAAGAGAGAATAACCAGCAAGCTAAAGTTTTGTGGACCAAAAGTTTTGTTGATGTAAAATAACAACCGGAAGTTTTATTTTAGATGAAAGAAAGGCAAAGCCAGTTTAAATATTCACTCAATAGTACCGAAGTATGAGGAATAGCAACCTGGAGCCCCAACCTGGAGGCCCAACTAAGAATTGGTTGGGGACCAGATTATCATTTGTCAGAATAATCTACCGATTATTCTGAGAAAGATATTGGCAGTTTTCCTGCGACGTCAGATTGTTTCTCTGCCATCAGGACAGCTGCAGCACACATACCGTCATTCACCGAGCTCGAATGATGGTACACGCTGCATGGGGGACGGCTGCGAGCACCGCATACACGAGCATGACTGACTCTGCTAAGACTTGGCTCGGAAATAGACTGGGAGCTGTGCATTTCTACAAATGGCAGTAGGACAACAGAGAGTAGCCAGAGGAGCTTGTTTTTTTTTATAGATCATCTGTCTCAGACTCTAACGTCAGGATACAGGGACATTTGAAACAAATGTGTAAAAAATACATTTCTATGAAAGTTACCTGTATCTTTAAAGATTCCACTGACATAAATACCTTAGCCTGTGTTTAGAGATGCGTGTTGTTACCTTTTCCACTTAAAAATCAATTGATAAAATGTTTTAAAAATTGTTCAAACTCCTTTCAGATATTAAGGTTCAACAGAAAATTGATGAATTAAGTACAGTTTCTAATAGATTTTAATCTCAATCAAATGACGCTTTCTAAAGTTACAATCAATGTACCCTCGCTGCTAATGACACCTTAATAACTCCAGCTGAGCCACAAACCAGCCATGAAGGCAAACGTCAGTCAGAAGGATCCAGCTTGGTCTGGCCTCGGAGCTGAGCGACACAGATTAATCATTACAAGTTATTCCTCAGGCAGAATGTTGATGTAATATCTCCTTCCCTTCAGTTACCGAGCCTCTCTGCGTGGTAGCTGGCTGGATGATGAAGGAATATCTCATCATGAACTGACATCTAACTCCCAAACAAAGGGCTTAACCAGCATGTGTAGCTTACAGAGGATATTGATTTAGTGTTTTGTTACAGGCTGACGCTTGTAGGGAAAGCGGGGGGGGGGGAAGTGGAAGAGATGAACAAAGGATACCTGCAGTCACATTCAAGAGAAAACGAAAACATTTTTTTTTTTTTAACTAAACATGCGCGGGGTTAAAATATCTTATTTCAGGCCCAAAGCCCATTGAAATTTTAGATTAGTGTACGCAGGGGGAGCTGTAAAATATCCAATGTTCTGTTGGAATCAACCACGTTTTATTTACTTTTTAGGCCTGGCCTATTTAGTACTTCACAAAAAATACAAGGTGAGAAACGGGCATAAACGTGAAGCATGCCACAGGACAATGGAACAAGGGAATCAAAAATAACACTTTTGAAAAGATTTGTCCTTAATTGGAACTTTAAAGCACTCAAGAAAAATATGAAACAAGACTCAGTAGACTGAGTTCATATCCAGGTTAATGTTCAGGGAACACTTATGAGATTCTCCCACCACCATATCTCATTAGTAAGCCGGTACTGGTACTGGTGCTTCCTTATCACAAGCACCTGTGTTTTGTGTTTCCACCACTCCAAGTAGGTTCTATTTCAGCACCAACTCTTAGCTGGGCCAGAGGAAAGAGCCTCTTCTTTTTTTTTCTTTTTTTTTTTTTTCTTTTTTTTGCATAGAGCCATATTGGCTTTTTAGTGTTTAGGTTATCTTTGTTATAAAAGTTGTTTTATTATCTGAACCCAATAAGTGTGACAAAAAAAAAGAAAGCTGTAAGCGGGCAAATACTTTTTCTCACAGTCAGGTATTGTATTGCCAAAAAAAAAAAAGCATATTAAATAAACCAGCAACTGTCCAATTACACACCCTTGAGGAATCCCTTGGCTGGTAACCTCATATGTTTTTGGTGTTTTTACATGAATGTGACTGCTAAGATGTGCAGCTTGGTCGTTTACTCCTGGGTCTGGTGTTGGTTACAGGTCCGCTCAGCAGTACGGAAGCGGTTCCACCGGTGGCAGGAGCAGCACTCGATCCGGGCCAGGATGACCCAGGCTATGTCCATCCCAACTTCACCTTCACGTGTCAGCTTTCACAGCATCAAGCAGTCCACATCGATATGAAACAAGAAACCAGCTTTACCCTGCATACTGGGACAAACCCTCCAGCTATCATTGTCATCGTGTCCCACCACCTCAGCGAAGTACACTAAAAAAAAACCTCTGAGCAGGGACAAAGAGACACCGCATCGGTCTCCTAAACCTCAGGGGGGACATTAAACAGACTTTCTGGAGAAAATGGATGGTGACTGGGGGAAAAGGACTTTGCAGACTTTGCATTAATAAAGGTTGGTGGATCAAAAGATCAGGGAGCTGATCTGTATGACCTGAAGTTTCAGTGTGAATGTACAGCACACCATTCAGTTTAATATTGGCTTGCTGTAAAAAAAAAAAAAAAAAAAAGCATCTGGTTTATTCCTGCCTGCATAATTTAGCAATCATCACCCGATAAACCTTGTGGCGCTTATTGGGAGTCAGTCCCAGGGGACTCTGCATCCTAAAGGCAGAGACAAAGTTGTTAAATATTCAGAGATATATACATATGTTTGTTTTTACAGTGATCCTTTTTTTTATTTTAATTTTTTTTCTTATGTTGTACTGTCATCCTTGGTTCTCAGTTCGGTGAAATTGTGCTTCATTCATCAACTTTCCAGGAAGGTTGAATACATTCCGTTCTTTTACCTGAAGAGTTTTGTTCCACAGTAATTATTTAATGCTGTTTAGTGATAATTTTATGATAAAACAGCTTCTTTTATTTTTACAACAAGCTATCAAGGAGTTTAAAAAGAAAAACCGTAATATATATATATATATATATATATATATATATATAATATTTTTTTTTTTTTTTTTTTTTTTTCCAAGAGGAAGATCTTATGGGGGGAAAAAACTGAAAGATACGGAAGGAACAGTTTCTCTGGATATTTCTGATAACATTTATCACAAAGTAAAAATAAATCACTAAATTGGTGATGATTATAAGGTTTCAGAGGAGCTGTGTCTCCAGGGTTGATGAGGTTGTTTGAATCCTCATGGGAAAAGACAAAGAGCTAATAATGGAAGACAGTATCACATTAGTGCAGTCCTTTAACTTTGATAGATGCTCTTTCTTGATTATCTGCCCCAGATATTTTGCCAAGTAATACTAAACTCTTCACTGCTTCTGGTACAGACTAGAGTAGTTCAAGAAGTGCTTGGCCTGCTGGTATGGCCAAGTTTCTGGTGTATGTTCTTGTTTATTGATATGGTCACAAATCAAAAAGCTGTGGTTATTTTACACCCTTGATTTGCTGTAATTTTCATTACACGATACACATGTTATCTTTTTATTGTTAATACAATTATTTAATTCAAGATCAAATCAAAAATACTTATCTGACAGGAAAATTAAAGGTTGTTGCAACTCAAGACATTAAAGCATCTTCAAAGAGTTGTTGTGAATGGTAGTCCTGAAAAGGTCTTCAGTAGCAGTCAGTCTTGCAACAAATCTGAAAAGGCTTCTGACTGAAGATAGTTGATGCATAACATTCTTATTAGTCATGACATGCTAATAGCTCAAAGCCAGGCATCAGAGATGTTACTCCACAGTAACATGTCCAGGACAACACCATGAGTTGTTGGCAAGCTCTGATTAGCTGAGAAAAATCTATCTATCGCATTCAATTTTGATTGTCAGGATAAAAAACATTTGTAATATCTGCACTAACTGACCCTCTTTCAGTTCTCTGTAACAAGCTGACAAACTGTAAGCACCCTTTTCCAAACGTGCCTATCACATTTGGGCTTTGCCTACTTTAACAATACACTACCCGGTTCCAATCAATACTTCCCCCCATCATGGTTCTTGGCTTATGATACTTCCTGTGTTTTACTGTTATTGCATTTCAGCGTTGGTTAAACAGCCAAGACTCTCAATGTGCTTTCCAATTCCAAACAAACTTTTTGGTCCATACACTCATCTTTCCAAGCAGCTGCTTCCAGTTCAAGCCTGGAAGCAGCTAAAAAAATTTAGTTTTCTTCTAGTGTTTATTATTTTATTGTACAGTTGTTTTGGGCTCTGGGTGAATCCATTCCTTTATGACTTCATACTCATCTGTAACCATTTTGTCAGAACCTACTTCCATTTTGTACCCAATGCTTAAAAGTAGTTTTGTGTTTGAAATATGCTGATGATCCTAAAAATATTTATATTTGAGTTATAATATCAACTATCAGGACGTGTAGAATATTTTACATTATTCTACACCTCAGTTTATTGTGTTTGTGATCTAAACAGACGTGGTGAGAAGCTGGGGACTTCATTACATTTTTATTTGGAATTGGAATTTATTTTAGAACTGATTTTTTATTATTATTATTATTATTATTATGTATTTTTCATGATCTACTCTTGTTTTGCTATTAAGAAATGTGTTTATGTGAGTAGTGCAGTAATTTTTCATATGAGAGTTAGCAGTTCCATCAGGGATTAGAACCACAGTCCATGCAAATAGGATGAACAATACAAAGTATTCAGAAAATTGTATTTAATTTATGATGATTTGTCATGATAAGTCAAGAAATTAAGAGAAATAAACAGATGGTTAATTAAATGGCTACAAAATGATTTAAGGTGATAAAATGGAAGGAGAGGACAAAATGGCAATGTGTTGTTATGAACTAGGGACAAATTGACCCAGAGCCAAAATTACGGCCCAAGATCAAAACAAACAAAACTATGGCCCAAGAAGGCTACTGATATCAGACTATCATAATCAAGTTTGTATGCATTGGAAAATAAACTATAACTGTCAACCTGATAATGACATCCTATTATATTGGAAACCAGCTCCTTTTTGGACTCTAAAAGTCTAGTATGAAAAGAGAAACACTACAAATATTAGAAATGACAAGGGGGTAAAATTACCATCACCATTTGTCAAAAAAGCTGACCAATAATGATTTGCGACACCGTTAGTTACTTGTGGCATGTCAGTGTAACTTAAGGTCTGGAAATCATCTCCAGCTACACATGACAGGTGACCCTGGCGAAGAGAAAAGCCACTGGATACATTTTTAAATATAAATAGTTGATCAAATTGTCTAATTGATTTTACTCTATGATTTGCTTTAGCTGATCAAAACATTTTCACGAAGACATATCCATACCCAACAGACATGCAAAGCACTAGCAGTCAGCTATTAAGATGTTGTGCTAGTACAACTTGCCTGTGATAAAGCTGAACATAAGACATTCAAAGTTTTGTAACTATAGCTCGTGTCACTTTAAACAAGTGTCATTGTTTAATTTGTGGCTTATTTTTCAAGAAAAAACATTTTAAAAAAAATGTTGAAGACTGCTTCCACACTCAGGGTCACATTTGAACTTTTTATCCAATTGAAATCCACCATTCAAACATCACAGATTACCATATCTGTGAAGTGATTGGCTGCAAGGGATCATGCTACTGGAGCTGGCCAATCAGAGCAGGATAGGCTGGAAAGGATCGATTTCCATAGCAACAGGGAACAACTGTATTTGTGTTAGGTTGTTTTATTGAAACTTTACAGCTGTTTCTTGTCCACCTGATGAATGTAGAAATGTAGTACTTAGTTAACAATAAATAAATAATGTAAATCAACCATCAATGTATATATAAAAGACATTTAAATATAATTTTAAGATTAGCACATTGATATATATATATATATATATATATATATATATATATATATATATAATGTGATTTTTTTTTACAGAGAATCATGTACGTTTGGTTTCTTTTGACAAAACTCTTCAGGAGTATTTCTGGTATTTGGATCTTACCTCTTGGTTGAAATACAGTCATGGTAAAAACAAAGTGCACCCTTTTGGTAATTTTTAAGTCCTTCTTATAAAAAAAAAAAAAAAATCTAGTTTTCCCAAGTTTCTGAAATTATTTATCAGGCCAGAAATGGATAGAAACATTATTTAATAAACAAACAAACAAAACAAAACAAAAAAAAACACTTGTTGCTTCTATAGGACTTAATAGGGAAAGTAGAACCAATGCCCACCATTTTACAATTATAGAAAAAAATCCAAGGACTGTTAAAATGTTAAGGATAGGAGAGCGTCTAGAAAAGACTGAACAAGTGCAGCTTGAAGGACTGCAGTAGAAGAACCTCATCTGCAGTTTGTAAAGTTGCATCTGAACAAACCACAAGACATCCGGAACAATGTCATTTGTACGGATGAAACCAAAGCAAAGATATTTGACCGGTGGCAAACGTTTAAGGGAAACCAGTTACCACATATCATTACAAACATCTCGCATCAACTTCCGAGCCCGTTGGTGGTGGGGTGATGATTCAGGCTTTCTTTGCAGCCACACTCACTTCGTTAACCATGAACTCCTGTTTACACTAAAATTTGAGAGTCAAATCAAGCGGAGCAATCCAGTGATGATGAAGGTGGCACTTTCATCCACAACTATGTGAGACACTAATAAAGTCACACAGAAAACAGCTATTTTGTTGCTAAAGGAGCTTCTGAAAGCTATTAAAATGTGTGGTGTCCCTAGTTTTTCACCACAACTTCACAATTTTGGCCAATTTGTTGATAAATAACAGAGGAGGAATCAAAAAGGGTATTTTTGTGCACTTGTACGTAGATTTGGACTTTGACATTTCATTGTGTCCTGATACAAAAAAAAAACGTAGAACCGAGTTGGGGGTGTGCTTTCTTTTTATCTGGACTGTAGATTTTTTTTGCTGCTAAAATAATTTTTATTCCACTATCTAAACTTTAGCCCTGTCCAGCTCTTGTTTGCTAAAGAAAGCAGAAACACTGAACCAAAACATTCAGAAAAAACCAAATAATACTAGCTGGAAGTTACCAAATTCAACTAAAACGTCGAGTTATGGTATTTGGGTATTGATTGAAAACGTTGAGACTAACTTGATAGGTGATGGGACGGTTTGTGTTTTGGAACAAAACTCCTCAGCCCAACAAAGAGACTTAAAATTGTGGCTTGTACATCAGCAAGATTAGGAAGGCAACCACGTTCACGTTCATACCAAGTGAATTTTTGTGACGTTTGGTCCAGTTGAAAGCATGAGACACGTAAAGTGTCGCACACTGTGTTTACTGGTCAACTGTAAATATATAAATAGCAGAGCTGGGTTGCTAAAATCCAGGGGGGAGCAGTCACGAATATAAACCAAAAAAAAAAAAACACAAACCACACACTGTAAGTCATGGAGGCACATCAACAGCTCACAGTTCACATTCCGATGATACCAGTATGCCTAGCACCTGTGCATTCTTAAGAACTGCTGTTTTACTGTCAAAAATGTAAACAAAACTCCTGTTGTTTTTTTGGTTTTTTTTCGTCATCTTGCAGTTTTTAATTTAAATCTCTTGCAAGTGATTTGTGAACTATGGCTTTTAAAATGTCCAACTATGTATAACTTTCTGATGCCATCATGATGTCTGTTTTTCCAAAAAAAAAAAAAAAAAAACCCATCATCTATTGTAGCTAAGCAGCCATTTTGGGCCAGCTTTGGGAGGGGAAAATTGATTCACTCAAGAGTTATAGCAATGGGGGAAACAATTGTTTGTTTGATCTGCTGGTTTTATAATTTAGCTCACTGCCAAACAAATGGAGTTATTTGTTGTTATGTTGGTTGACTTTTAATTTGGAAAGAGAGAATATCCACCCAGACATTGTGGGGATTGAAAACACATCTGACCTAATGGGTTCAGGTACCTTTGCTGCCAATCTTAGCTTTAAGACATTTTAAATAGCTGGCCAACATGA